GATCGATCACATAACCGCCGGAATGACTTCTGTGCTTGCCATGCTCGACAGCCCTGTCCCACGCGCAAACGTTGATCTGATATCCATAAGCCAAGGTGGTTTGCTCTCAGCGCCGACGTGGAGAAGTCTTCTATCTCTAATTGTCCGGGATATGCTGGGCCAGCCTCTTAACATAACCAAGGGCCTAGGCGACCTCAAGTTGGCTCTCAAAGACGCCATATCGCTGCGGCTCTTCTGCGTGGGGCCTTCGGTTCATATCCCGACCATGTGTGCGTATTTGGAGTTTGATTGCGACAAGATTTGAGCGTTGAGAAGGAAACCCAAGTCACCATATCCAAATGCTCCGGAATCAGGGCAAATCTCGGAAGAAGTAGCCGTCGTTAACAAGGACGAAAGCGAATCATTGGATACGTTGACCAACATCTCGGCTCAAACGGCCCGGATGCCGAGTCCCACGATATCAAAAGCAAGAAGCACAACAACACTCACCGGCTGCGACGAGGTGGCCACCAAACCATCGGTTGTAAGCCCCGGGGTTACTACCGGTGGTCCAAAGGCCAACATTGTCCTCTTGCACGGCCGCAAAGCATCGGGACCCACGCCACTCTTCCTATTCCCAGACATCACTGGCGGCGCATTAAACTACATGTTCCTGCAGCCGCTTCCCGATGACCGGGCTCTGTATGTTCTGGAATCTCCGTACCTTGATAGCGGCGAAAGCTTCACATGTGGAGTCGAAAAGGTCTCAGCACTTTTCAAGCAGGCAATAGTCGACGCGCATCCCGCAGGCAACTTCTTCCTGGCGGGGTATTCGGTCGGCGCCGTGTACGCATACGAAACGGCGAGGCAGTTGATCGCCGAGGGACACAGCGTGCAAGGACTGCTTCTGTTTGATATGGCGGTTCCGCTACTACGTCCCAACCCGGACGTGCTGCCAGCCATCAAGCTGCTTTTCTCCCCGCCCATGCTGAAATCCAGCATTTCGGCCAACCCGGCGGTTCAACGCAGCCAGGAAGCTCACATGGCGCACATGGTGCGCAGTGTTGCCGAATACGACCCGCTTCCCATGCCGTCAGATCGCCGTCCGAGCCGCGTCTGGCTACTATGGTGTAGCCGTAGCGTTATAGAGCGGCTCGGCGATGACGACTGCAAGTATCTGGGCCAGAGCGGCTTTGTTATGGAGCAGGTGCCTGGGTTCTTGGAGAGCCCAGCTATTGGTCCGCTAGCTTGGATCACAGCGCCAGGAAAGCCGCCAGGGCCGAATGGCTGGGATAGGCTTGTCGGTGGTCAAGTGAAGTGTGATTCGATTGATGCTGATCATTTTAGTATGCTTGTCACGCCTGATGTCGCCAAGTTCCAGAAGGCGATCCAGGATGGTTTGGTATACTGCAGTGGTGTTTGATCCGTGTTAAATGTACAAAAGATAGAGTGCGGCGCCAGATTGTTATCATCATTGCAACATTTCTTCCCTTATGGACTAGGGTCTCTATTTCACAATTTGTCCCTATTAAACTGGTGGGCCAGATTGCTTATGTTTGGATCACTGTTGCTCGTTAAATCCGCTTTTGTTGAATCGTAGGATTTTAATGGTATATTGGTTGGTTATGACGTGATGATGTACGCGTACAAATCTATCCTTCGCGAGGGAATCACCTAGCAAAGGTATCCCTTTGTGACGAAACCACGGCGAATCCCTGACTTATTATTAGTGTAATGCACGGCAAAAGTAGAATAGATCCGCGGTCGTATAGATTGCTTATATACTCGCTGTAGGATTATACTTTATCTATTAGTTTCTCTTGAACAAACTAGTAATTAATAGTACTAATAGGGATATTATAGGCAGGCTAGAGTAACTTAATGTAATATAAAGTAAAAGTTTTAATAATAATACGCCTGTAATAACATCTTTATACTAAGGGGTAGGACAACTATGTCACAGGACAATGTGGCCAACCTTTGGATCTACTTCTTGGCCTTGCCAGTGGATCCATCGGTCAGGCCGATATCCTGCCGACAGCTGGTGCCCCACTGGGCCCCACCTGTCGCCAGTCTATAAGACCAGCCGTTGCCAGCCGTAGCTCTAGCTCTTAGTTAGTCATTAAATCTATTACCTATTTAACTATGTTAAGTAGTAGTATAACCACTAGTTATAATACTATAGGTAATTAACCCTTTGCTACTATTAAATTTATAATAAGAGGTAAATATACTAAATTACTATTAAGAGCTATTTAATTAGTTATCTTAAAGGTAACTAATTAATTAAAGGTATTTACTTTACTAGCCTAGCTACTAATATACGCTTACTAGTAGATTTTTTTACTACTATTAGCCTACGCTAGACTAACCTATCTAGCTAGATCTACTATACCTCTAGCTACTAACACTAATACTACTATTATTAACCTTTACTTTAATAACTTTACTTTTCTTACTCTCTTTATACTCTTTTACTTCTATTACTTCCTTTGTTTTCTTGTTAAGGTTACTACTACTAAAGCTACTATTAATTAAAGCCCTTAAATAATAATAATAATAAAGTTACTAGCTAAAGCCCTACTATAAATATAGTACTAGATTTCTCTTAAGATTTACACTTTTTACTATATATATACTAATAACTATAGCTAATAATATTATTATTAACTTTACTATTAAGACTTTATATCTTAAAATACTCTTTTTACTACTTACTAGACTACTAGCCCCTATTACTTTTACTTTTAAAGACCTTATTACCTTTATTAACTTTACTTTTACTACTATTAATAATAATAGTCTTATTACTACCTTTAACACTTTTATTACTAACTATCTTATTACTAATAAGTAAATAGTCTATATTACTAGTAGTACTAACCTTTTTTACTACTATAAGATTTAATACTACTATTAATACCTTTTACTAAAGGATAATACTAATATAAAACTATAAGGATATACTTTACTACTAGTATAAATAAGTAATAGATATATAAAACCTTTAGCTAGTAGTAAGATACTTAAAGCTACTACTACTAATACTATTACTAATATATACTTAACTAACGTCTACCTAGTAGGCCTAATACTACTATAAGTTATATACCTAGCTATACCTTTAAAAGCTATATTAACTACACCTTAGATTTAGAGGAGGTTATTTAGCTAGAGGTAAACCTATCTATTAGTGCCTTTAAGAACAAAAGGAGAAAATCTAGTCCCTTTAGTAATAAGTCTACTAGCTACTACTGTACCTACTACCTTATAAAGCTACCTAGTACTATAGTTAAGATACTTTAGATAAAGATAATAAGAACAAAGATAATAAAGATAATAATATTAGTTATACTATAGAAATAGGTCTCTAGGATAATAATAATAGATCTATTTATATAAGGGATTATTACTATAACTTTAATAAATCTAATAGCTAACTAGTATATTAGAGGTATTATAGTACTAAGTAGAGAAGTCTACAAATAGGTAGTTAGGGTTAATTATAACTATTTTCTAATCTACCTTCTCCTAATTCTCCTGTTCTATAAACTCTACTTTTATATAACCCTTAGATAATAGTTTTCCTAGTTATAGCCCTATAGCTAGTAGTCCCCTAGTGCCTCTACCTTTAGCACTTAATATAATCTTCCCCCTTAAGGTCCTGTCCTTAGGACCTTAAGTAGTACTCTAGTAGGCCCCTAGGGCTCTACTGCTAGCTAGTATCTTAGAGGCGTCTAGGAAACCTTTAGGCTTAGTAGGTTACTAGGTAAATAGCTATCTCTTAGCTAGCTAATTACCTTTAACTTTACCTTTATAGCTATTATAGTCTAACTAGGCTAAGACTATTACTTTCCTAGGTTATAGTTATTTTAGCTAGTTATAAGCCTTTTACCTAACTAGCCTTACTAGAGTTACTTACTTTATAATAAGAACCTTATCTACTATAATACTTTATTACCTTTTATCTTTTAACTATAATACCTCTTAGGTACTATATACCTTTAGTAGGCCTTTATTATATAGTTACTTTTTTATTACTTTTATTTCTTATAGCCTAGCCTAAGTTATACTACTTTATAATAAAAGAAAGCTTTATTTACCTTTTAGTAGCTATACTAGTAACCTTAGGTTTTATTTTTTTTTTTCTTTTTACTATTTTTTTTTACTTTATAGCTTAAGATACTATTATAACTTACTTATTATTTTACTTAGCCTAATTAGTAACCTTTTTAGCTTACTTTTCTTTTAATTTTTTTACCTTTAATTTTTTTCTTTTTTTTTTTTAATAGCCTTACTTTATTATTATTTTTTATTTTTTTTATTTTACTACTATACTACTATTACTACTACTACCTAGTAGTAATAGTAATAATAATAGTACTAGTATTAGTACTAGCTTTTTACTACTACTATATCTTTCTTTATTTTACTAATACTTTTACTAATAATACTACTACTACTACTACTAGCCTTACTACTACTAGTCTTACTAACTAAGGTAGTTTTACTAGCCTCCTAGTGCTTTTTTACTTTATTACCTTTTACTCCTTACGCCTATTAAAGAAGATAAGCTTGTCTATAATATACCTATAACTACTATATTTACTAGATAACTAACTAGTGTCTAGTATATTAGGCACTATACTACTACTTTTCTTACTATATAAAGACTACTATATACCTTTTTACACCTAGTGCCTCTTAGTGTCCCCTTTAGTACTTTAGCTAATATATCTTAGCTACTAGTAATAAGTATACTTATTATACTACTATATATAGTAAGCCTTATATCTTAGTATATTTACTTTTACTTTTACTGTCCTTATAACTTCTAGTAGCTACTAACTCTTAAATAGGCTACTTATACTACTACTATAGCTAGTATTAAGCTATACTACCTCTTTAAGGCTATAAACTATTTACTAAGCCTACCTACGTCTACTATAGTATTACTATACGTTTACTTTCTCTAGTGCCCCTCTAGTAACCCTTTATACTAACGTTAGCCTAAGACAAGATTAATAAGCCTAGGTTATAGCTAAGAAGGCGCTTTAGCGCTAGGTTAACTTAGCTAAGGCCCTAATACTAAGCGTAAGACTAAGGCTAAAGAAAAGAAGTAACTTCTTTACTAGTGCTATATTATAGCCTTTAAGACTACTACTAACTTCTTTTACTACTAGGTTAAGCTAGCTAAGTCTATACTTTATACTACTAAGGTTACTACTATAGCCCTTAAGGCCTAGACTATTACCTTTTAAGAGTAGACTACTATTATTATAGCCTAGACTACTCTCTTTTTAAAGTAGTCCTAGACCTACTCTTAGGTTATAAGTGTTTTTTTCTAATGTCTACCTAGTGCTCCCTTAGTACCCTTTATACTAGTTACTAACTTCTTTTTAGTATACTAGTAAGCTTAAATCTAAGGCTAGTAAAGATAAAAGTAGTACCTTTATATTTTATATCTTCTGCTATAATAATAATAATAATAATAATAAGAATATTAGTAATAGTAATTTAGAGGATAATAAGTAGGTAGTAAGTAGGCTTTACTACTATTACCTTTAGTGCCCCTTTAGCTTTTCTTTAGTCTATTTTCTTTTACTTATTATACTTTTTAGATACCTAGCTCTTAGGCTACCTATATTCTTTAGCCTTAGTACTATAATAATTAAATCTTTAATCTAGCTGTCTTTAGGCTAATTTTTACCTTACTTAGCTATACTTTTATTCTCTCTTAGTAACCTTTACTTATAGTTATATTATAATCCTTTTATAATATTCCTCTAGGGTTCCTAAGAGTTTTCTTTTTACTATACTTTTTTACTTAATAAGGTACTACTAATTTTACTATAGCCTCTTATAGACTATAATTTAATTTACTTTATATATGTTTTTTTCTCTTTCTTTAATTAGTATTAGTTAAGGCTCTACTAGTAATCTCTAGAACTTTTCTAGCTATAATAAAGAGAAGATATTATAGATCCTATATCTAGTACTTACGTTTATTTTATAGGCTTTACCCTTATTAACTACCTACTTTACTATAAAAGGGCTAAGGTACTTGTCTAATAGCTTCTTAGATAGTCTCTTTTACTTAATAAACTTAGCTAACAGAAGGACCTTTTCTTTAACTTTAAAGTTTATATTAGACCTTTTAGCGTTATACTACTTCTTATAGGCCTAATTAACTACCTTTAATATCTACTAATTATAGTTCTTTAGCTTTATAGTTACTTTACCTTCTTATAGGCCCTAGGGACCTCTGTTAGTTTTACCTCTACTAAGTATATATTATATATACTCTATAGTATATAGCCTATTAGCGCCTCTACTAGTATAACCCTAGTTATACTATACTATAAGCTATTATAAATAAATTTAGCTATAGGTAGCTATTTTACTTAGTTATTTTACTTAATA